CGCTTATTTTGGATTAAAATGGTCTACTTAGCAACTGTGACAAATTTCATGCTTGTATGATTAAATGGCGTTTTTTTCCGATAAGCATCCGTACTAATGGCCGTTTCCACCAACGCAAATTTAAGTTTACTTAACGTTAAGTGCCGCTTAAATTGTAATTTTTTTTCCACCAGTCTAGCCTAGTCTCATCAAGATAAGCTTAACTAAGCCCAGAAATTTCTAGGCTTATTTTCTCCCTTAACAAAGTGGCGATGATAAGCGCAAGCCATTTGCATAATATGTTTTTGTTGACATAACAAACGTTGAAATTGAATTGAGATAAAATGAAAATTTTCTCAATTTTCTAATTTCTGCGTTTTTTTTTTCTCCCAAAGCCTATTTTTTTCGGCTAGAGATACTCCGTGTTTTTTTATTTTCGATTCGATTTTTTTTATTTTTTGATGTTAGCGATATTAGGGACATAAAGCTTCCGTATTTTTTGCTCGGTATCCGTATCGGTATCGTACTGCGCATGTGCAGAAGCGATACGGACGCCGAGATACCGTACGTACAACGTAACGTTACGGCCCTCTCGCTGTATCCGTATCGGTAACGTATATTGACATTCCTGACGCATGTGTCAAATTTTAAATGAATATAACCTCACTTTTCTTCCTGGTTGACTTAATTTATTTAGTTTATACTTTCTTGAGTTTCTTGTGTGTTTAGTGCTTCTCTATCGCAAAAAAAATAACAATTTTAAGGTTAGATATAAAAACGCCGAAGTTTTGAGACAAAAATGTCTAGGTTATGAAATGCGTTTACGTTTACCGGAACAGGGAGCGCTTTAACAGCCTTTTCGCTTGTCAACGTATCTAGTTGCGTTACGGATACCGATACCGATACCGGCGAATTATTTCAAGTAGCTTTATGTCCCTATTAGCAGCACTTTTTCCTTTATTGTATAGTTTGGTGTCCGGCTTTTTTTGAATAAACTCTCCCTGTTTGTTTCTATTCCCCGACTCCACGCTGCTCTAGGCACCTTCGTGCTCGTTCACACACAATGCAGGATAAACTACCAATATCTAAACTACTTCTCTGTGAAATAAACCGAACCCGGACAACAACAACAACTATCAATAATATTACTTATTACTCTTATTAGTAATTATATTATTATAATCTTACAAAAAATTAGCGGGAAGCGTCGAATGACAGATAACATTGACACGACTGGTGTAAAAACGAAAACTACGCAAATTTTTCACCTGAAATGCAATGTTGTCAAAGCTGTACGACACTTAGCTAAGCTTGCACTTAAAAACTATGGTGGAACGAAATTATATTTGAGTATCCCTTAACTTTTAAGGGCTTCATAGTTAAGCAAAGCTTTGTTATAGTTTGGTGGAAATGACCATAATTATCGTTTTTTTTTTTTTAATTTTTGTTGTTACCTACCTGATATATGAAGCTCGTAGGAAAAATTTTGTTCCTAACACGTGCGCAAAGTGTCTTTTCCGCACGCAAACACTTAATCCGAACTCCGCTTCGCGTCGTTCGTATAACTGTGTTCGCGTGCAGAAAAGTAACACTTTGCGCACTTGTTAGGAAAATAACTATTTTCTACAACTGTCAAAAAAAGATGAAGTTTGCACACTGATGACAATTTGCGAAGTGACACTTTTTTTTCCAGGTAGATTGTTTTAAAAGCTCCCATGACGCTGTGCGCAAGATGATTCTCCAGTGTGCGAAATGCCTAGTTCGCACACTCAGGTAACAAATACCTGACACCTGAAAGGAAACCAAAAGTAAGTAAAATTCACCTGCCTTTGTAAATGCAATTTCAGCTTCGAATGATCGATATTCAAATTGAGTTGTAGAAAATAGTACATTAAAATACAAGTTTCATAAGACGTCATTTTATCGCACGAGCCCTATATAGGCGAGTGCGATAAAATGTCTTATGAAACGAATATTTTATACTATTTTTTCTATTTTGGTATTGTTTAATTAAGAAAAACAAATTTTTCTTGAACATTTTATTCTCATATTTCCTGATTTCATATGTTTAGGTTGGTAACACTACTTGCCAAATATAGAAATCTTCTATTATAAAATCGCGAATGACAGTTCGATGGCCATCAGTCAGCCAGTGTTACCAACCTTCGATAAGTAAAAAAGGAGTGTAACAAAGAGCTTCTTTTCGAAACTACTTTTCGAAAATGCCATAAAATAAAAACTTTAAGGGCGTCTGACACCCTTTCTGTAGCCACCTAGACGTCTGACGTCTGACGATTTACATACGTTATCTGTGACCTTTATGGCCATTTGCACCGACCATTTTACGTTCTTAAACGAAAGCCTTAGCGATGAGTATTCCTTAAAATATCATTTCTACATGAAAAAACGTCAAGGATAGTCTATATATCCTCATAAAGCCTGTGGGTCACAAATTCCCCCTTTCCCCTTACGTCAAAATACTAGTTGTGACGTAGGCAGCATATGATATTTCTCGCCTTGACGTAGGCTGTTTAAATAGCTGACGACCTAGTTATGACGTCGGAAATGGTATCACTCCAATATGGCAGCGATTACCAAAAACGAGGCCGATAAGCACTGAGTGTGTATTCTCCTTGGAGAAACGTCACTTTAAGGAATACTTATCGTTAAGGCTTCCTTAAAATGGTCGGTAAAAACGGCCAATAAATAAGTAGGTAACGTGCAAATTTTCAGCCGAAGGTATGATAATTTTTTGAGCAATTCTTTTTTCATTTTTGCAGGAGTTTCGACCAAAATCCTTGCACCGTGGGACTTCCTGATGGTCCCCCCAACCACTTCACAAAATTCCAGCCGTAGTAGGTACTATCCCACATAACAGTGAAAGAACATTCATATTCTCAGAATATTCCCTCAAAGTGCTTTTTGGAATGTTCTTTTAGGAATGTTCAATGAATATTCCAAGATTGTTTCGATTAAAATATTCATTTTTGAACGTTATATTTACGTACTAGGAATGTTGCTTCTATGCACCTACCTGAAAGATTCTGCTAAGAACCTACTTTATATAACATTATTTGAATATTGTCATATGAATATTATTGTAATGTACCCTAAAGAATGTTTTTTCGGCTAATATCTCTATCAAGTATTAAGAATATACCTACCAAGTTGTGCTGAGAAGTTTATGGAGGTAGGTAACCATGATAAGAATATTTTCATATTGTTCACCTAATTATCTAAAGTACCTCCTCAAAAATCTTAATTGAACAATTAAACAATATTGCTCTATCTAGAATCTACTAAGAATATTATAGGTATATTCTTTTTCTTTTGCTTTGTAGTACTTCCAAGAGAGGGAGCCACGCGCTATTAAAGATCTACATCTTGCCTAGCGTTTGAATCATCTTGGAACCTGTTTCTCTCAGTTGGCGTGCTTACCGCGACGAGAGCATAATAATCTCGAAACCTGAGCTTTGGTTAAACACTTGTGTTTTCCAGACAAGTTTTCCAACAACTCTTTCACTGCCTTTAATATAAAAGGACTGCAAGGGGCATTATTTGGAAGCAAAAATTAACATTCCAAGTATATCCCTAGAATCAAACATGAATGTTATGTCTAGGATGCATATTGAGAATGATATATGTATGTAGATATATTCTACGAATATTTCAAACATATTGGTATAATATTCTTTTGAGAACATAACTATAATGTCGTAGAAACATTCTTTGAATGTGAGAATATACATTTCAAGCATATTTTTAGAATCAAACAGGAATATTCTTTTCAGGATGTACTGAGAATCTCATAGGTATATTCTAGGAATATCCTAATGGATTTCCCAGGAAGTTCTTGGGTATTGCAAACAGTATTTCTACAATCATTTCTCAGAACATTCTCAGGACATTCGCAATGGTTTTGGCGAACATTCTAGGCACATTCCTCCTAAAAAAAGAACATTCCCATTACATTCTAAGGATGCAATTTTGTTATGTGGGATTGTAGTACCTCCGCGGCCGCAAGCTCTTATAGTCTATAATTAATCATGAAAACTTTAAACATCGAACACTTGAAAACAAATCAATATGAAACACTAATACCTACCGTGCAATTTGCAATTTCAAAGACAATAGTAAACAAACCTGTCGTTCTTGTTAATCTACAACATAAATACCATTCATTTGTTTATCGGTTGGGGAATACTTAGTATCTAAAATAAAAAGTCAAAAAGCAATGAGCCTATTTCTACTATAATGCACACAAGTTTATATTAATTATAAATTATTTTTCACTATCTGGTTCATTACTATACCACCAATTTCCTCCATAAAAATACACAAAAAAACTCTGTTGATATTGGCAAATTGAACAAAAAAACAACAAAAAATGGCTGAGATAATTATATATATGTGAACTAGTTTCAAACGTAAAGAGTTTCAAGTAACTCGTGAATGGATACTACCCGATTTTGGGTAGGTACGCCGCTGCTCACTAAGAATTCAAATAAATTAAAAACTAACACAAAAATCCTGAAAATAACAAAATCGAAAGAAATCGAAATTTCATTAACGAAGAGTAATATCAAAAATTTGTGAAATGAGTTCTTTCTTTATAAATAAGAGACTAAAAAAATGCCATTTAAAAAGATTTATTCTGGTTAAAAAACTGACTTTTCTTTTTTATTTTGTAGTCAGTAAGGAGCTTTAAAACGGAGAAATTGGACTAAAGCAGCGTGTTCAGATATGAATTATCTCTTAAATTCCGCAAACCGTTCATTGATATTTTTTTTAGTTTGCGTAATATTGGAATCCTAAGTTAACCAAAAAATTCGCTTGTTCCGCTTCATTTGTCCAGCAGTTAATTTGAACTTAGGTACTGGTATTTATTACTTCTGTCTACTATGTCTTTTTCGATAATGGCCCCAAATCTTGCCATTTCCTCTCGGAAAAATCAAGTTTGTTGTCAAAAAGAACAATTCACATCATGGATATTCTCAAATGAACCATAAATAAAACAACCATATAGTTTACTACAATAGATCTATTGTTGATTTTTTTAACAATGAATTTAATTGTACAAAAAAAATTATAATTTTATTGCATCTACAATCTAAAATGGTGATAAAAAGTGTCATTAAATATTATATCAGTTCTTTTTCTCCTAAAAACTTCATACAGTACTTACTGTACAATAGCTTTACAATTATTATAATTATTTGTCTCGATATTTTGCAAATATCAATAAATAATTATTTACACACCTAATCAAGTCGTCGGCTGTCTTGAAAATTAAAATCACATTTTGCGGACTAACAGAACGAATTCCCCATATGTTAATACTAGTTATGGTATTGAATTTCGATAAACTGAAACTTCACCGTTTTTCAAATTTGAACTTATAACTATCCTTTTTTAAAGCCAACGACCCAACGGGTACTTTGTAAATTTCATTCTCAACAGGTTTTAAATTGAAATTTTGCATAACTGTGCCGAGGATACCGAAAGAAACTAATTGCACCAGCTTGTAGCCCATGCAACTCCTTCGTCCTCCACCGAATGGTAGAAAGTATTCCGGTTTAAAGAGCTTTCCGTTTTTAATGAATCTTTCTGGCATGAATTTTTCAGGACTTTCCCAAAGATCTTTGGACATAGACAGGTCGTAGTTGTTGAAGAAGAGGACCGTGCCTTTGTCGATTTTGTAACCTGAAATGAAAAGGGGGTTGATTTTAATAACAGCGTTTTGACAAAAAAGTTAAAAAGACAAAGAGAGAATTCGATAAAGCTAGGTATGTCAAGAGCAGAAATACTTATTTTTGGAATTAGGGCGAGAAATTTTAGAAAGTTAACGTGAATTATCAGGTGTCACTTTTTTGAACTACCTCAAAAATAAAAGACTCTTACCATCAATAGAACTGCTCTGGTTGGCCACTCTAGGTACTATCGGTGACGCAATTAGTCTTATGGCTTCATAAATAACAGCTTCAGTATACACCAGCAGATTTCTGTCGCAGATACTGACCAGTCGTTCTGAACCAAGCACTGAGTCAATTTCTGATTGAATTTTTCGTTGTACTTCAGGCTCACATACAAGGAAACCGAAAAGTTTTGTTAGGAAGTTGCCTACAGCAGAATGACCACCTGCAATAAGATAAAGGATATTAATATTGGATAAAGAACAAACATCAGAATGATGAAAGTGAATGTGAATATGTAATAAAAACAAAAAAGGAAGCCCAAGTTCTTACCGATTATATCTTCCAAAGCAAACATAGCCATTTCCCAATTCATAGAAGATTCCTCGTCATTTTTCATATTTTCCATTTTCACATGTCCAATTAAACTTTCCAAATAGTCACTGGGTTCCGTTTCAGGACTGTACGTTTGCAATTTATTTTTGATTACTTCTTCTTGGATGAATTCTCTGATTTCGTGCGTAACTGCGGCCATTCTTTCGAGGTTTTTCTTATGCAACGGCATTAAAAATGGCAAAAAATCGGCTGCGTATCCCTGATTCACTTCGTAGAAGACTTCGTCGAAATTTTCAATCATTTTTGTGAACTTTTCGTTGTTCGAGTCGAAATTTTCCGAGCAGAAATGGTTTAGGAATATGTTGGCGCACTTTTTCAAAAGTATCGGCTTCAGTTCGACAATTTCGTTTTCTCCGAGTTCCTTGACTAAGTCTTGTGTTTCGCGCAAAATCAAATTGTCCAAGGAAATATATTTGTGAGTGAAAGCTCTTGGGAAAGTGTAGGCTTTTAGCATGTCTCTGCGTACTTTTTGGGTGTTAGACCAATCGCAAAAGGCCAATGCTGAAAAAAAGAAAAAAAAAATTACTTTTCTGTTTAATTTCTGTTCAAAGTTAGTTATTTTATTTTTTTTATTTTATTGACAAATCAACTTGTATGTTCGTGAGTTCATGACTGTTCGAGATACAGTTGATTTTTTCTTAAACAAACATACAAGTATCAGGTAGAGTATGAAATAGCGAGTGTCGAAAGCAAACAAGAGAAAAATTAAATAAAGAAAGTAACAAACAATTAACATTTAATAGGGCAAAAAGAAACTAGGAAAAGACTTCCAATCACTAAGTACGCATTTCTGTAGTTGAAACTAGATTATAATAAAAAAAAACATCTTGAATAAAAATTAATAAATCACTTACAATTCTCCTTATTCCCGGAAAACAATCTCTGATACCGTTCAAAATTCGGTCTAGAATCGAAATGATGTCCCCTCGTCACCAAAGCTTCTCTGATATTCTTCTGTTCATTAACGACCACACATTTCACTGTTCCCAGCTGTAACTTGACCACGTTTCCAAACTTCTTCCCTAAATTGGTAAAAGCTTGATAAGGTACTTCATAGCCGTGCAACAGGTGCAAGTGACCTATAATAGGTAGTTTCATTGGTGACGGTGGTTGTAGTAGATCTTCTTCGTTTTTTTCAACATCTTTTGATTTTTCTTTTTTGGTTAGCAAATCGTGAATAAATATAAAAGTAACCACTATCAATATGACTAATAAAAGAATGACTGTTAATAAAGGAAACATTTTTATTTGATTCGCGCACTTGAAGGGTTGAAATAAAAGCGATGCTACTGGAGACAACCAGTGGGGACGTTGCAGCACAGAAGGCACTTTGTTGTCTGAAGATCGCCGTAATTCAGCATCGTTTATATACACGTTAAATGTATTAGCATTCGACGATGTTTGTTCTGATTTAATATTTATTTATTCTGTATGTATGATTTAAATAAGCCCCGCTATTTTTCTTTTTCCAAACATTTCGGGACTTTTGTAATTGGGTTGGGAACTTTATAAGTCAAATTAATTCTTTTACTGTCCGAGTTGTATCAAATTCAAACAACTCCAGAATGGTATAAAATAAAAATTGGTGATAAAATATGGACCAAACCGGATTTCCTGCCATACTTGAAATCAGAAATGACGCGGCTTCTCCCATAAAGAAAACCAAATTCAGGTAATCACAATAAAAGGATGATGGTAATTGATTGGATGAGGACGGTAGACTTATGAGACATTTAGGTTGTTGAATAAGTAGATAGTCCGGCAACAGTCGTGCGATTCAAAGATTCATGCAACTTGGCTGGCTTCTCCTGGAGGGTGAAAAGCTTTTATAGGGGAGACAAAATAGCGAACGAGATTCATGAATCACTTCTTATGGCAGGAATTAGTTTTTTGGAGTTTTTCTGGAGAAAGACTTGCATCGGAATTTTTGTTTCAGAAAGGTAAGCTCTAAGAAGGTTAGGAAATCATCATCATCATCCGTCCGGTGTCTCTAGATATTTCCACTTCCCTCAGTTTTGAGCGGTTGCAACCCAATTTGTATTGAGTCTTTTCAGATCATCCGTTCATCTCGTGGGAGGTCTTCCTCGCTTATCTGATCTCGGTTTCCACTCTGAAACTTTTTCTGAGCATCTATCATTCTTCTGCCATGCGACATGACTAGCCCATCTCCATTTAGATTTCGCGATTTCCTCTATTATGTCTTCCACTCCAGTTCTACTTCGGAACTCGTCGTTTCCTATTTTTTCTCTCATATTCCCAGCATCGATCTTTTTATCTTGCATTGCGTGACACGTAGCTATCTGGCTGATGCTTCTGAGAGTGTTAAAGTCTCTGCTACATAGGCGACAACTGGCAAGACGCGCGTACCTATTAAAGATTTTCCTCTCCAAGGATATAGGTACCTATATCATGATCTTTGAATATATGTCCTTATGCCGCCCAGACGAGAGTGATTCGCCTTAAAAGTTCGCACATTTTTGATTGTGTTTTTGAATTCTAATCTCATATCCCAAATAACAATATTTTTCCACAAATTGTGTATCTGCTCTATAAATTTGTATATTTTCACTGGAGACTAGGTCTGCATTGCCCCTCGAAGTTTTTTCCTTATTGTTGTAGGTCATCTGTGATTATTAGGTCTATAATTGTTAAGCTGCGTTATGTCCCCTTTTTTGTGAAGGTGGATAGTAATCGCATTGTTATAATTTAGACGGGATCTCTTATGGTTGTGTGCTATTAATACAGATCCTCCTATTTTTATAGCTTCTGATGCCACTACTTCGTCTTCCCCAGGCGCTTTGTTATTTTTTATTTTCTCCAGGGCATAGTTAATTTCCCCTTGTGTGATATCGGGAATATCTGCTAATCCTTCGTTTTTTTATGTGTAGATTATGAGTTGTTAAGTCGGGATAAGGATTTTTGTTTGTGTACAGTTCTTTGTTAAGTTCTTTGGTGATCTTTATTGACTCTATTATTTGTTCCCGTCCTTGTCTTCAAGTTGGAAAATTTCTTTTGTACCGTTTGTTGGTTGTTTCCTCAATTTTCAGGCTTTTTTTTTGTTCTATTGTTTTTACTAATTTTTCATATCTGTATAACCTTATGTCTTTCCTTAGTGCCTTTGATATGTCTTGGTCTTAATTTGATTTCCCCTTAAGTGCTGTATCTATAGGACTATATTTGTTGAATCAAGCTTTATTTTATTAATACAATTTTATAGTCACTTGACAAACTTCAATACTTTGTTATATCAATACTATGACTACATGCCTTCCTATACCTGTACCTGTACTATCAGGTGTATATGAATAAGTACGCAACATTCGCACGTAGGCCTAACTTTAATTATATTATACATCTCCCCTCTTTAAATGAAAACTATAAATCCAGTATTTTTGGTTTCTTAATAACTCGACCTGAAACCTTGGATTTCCGAACAGGTAAATTCAAAGTGGATTCGTTGCTAGAACTAGATTGAACATTGTTGAAAGGGCTACTTATTTTTGAAGGAGATTTCTCAGGCATAGAATGCTTATTTGCTACTCTAGGAGATGAATAATTAGATACACTAGGAGATAAGTCATTATGTGATGTGCTAGGTGTCTGCACATTTCCATTGCTAAGCATGTTAAAATCTCTGTTTATGATAGGATTATATTAATTTAATGGCTCTCTCAGATCAAATTTATTCCTAATGACAAGATTACCATTTTCATCTAAAACCTTATAGGACCTAGGATTTTCAGACAACTGTATAATTTTACCTGGTTTCCATGTCTTGTCAATATGATTGAAAACTGTAACATTTTGATTCGGTTTCAAAGGTTTTAGAACAGTGGCATTTTTGTTATAATATTTTATATTATTCTCTTGTCTTAATTGAAGCTTTTCTTTTACATTATTTCATAGAGTTGGTTTCAAAAGATCTGCTGATACAGGAAGTTTTGTTCGACAAATACGGCTCATTAACAGTTGGGCAGGAGAATACTCCAAGTATTTAAGAGGGGAATTTCGATACTGCATTAGGGAATCAAATATGTCTTTGCCCTCCTCTAAAGATTTTTTCAGCAATTTTTTTCCAATATCCACTGCTTTTTCAGCCAAACCATTTGACTTTGGATAATTGGGACTTCGAAAAACAACATTAAAATTCCACTCTTTAGCAAATTCTTTGAAAATATAACTATTTAAGGGTACATTATCACATACTAATATGTCAGGGGACCCAAATTTGGAAAAAATAATTTTTAATTTTTGAATTACCTCATGAGCAGATTTATTTTTAATTGATACTAGCTCAAGCCAATCTGAGTAAGCATCCATTGTTACTAAATACGAATTGTTACCATAAGAAAAAATATCAGCTCTAATGCGTTCCCAGGGGCGCTCAGGAATAGAATAAGATTTAAGTATTTGTTTTGCATTTTTACGCGCATATTTTTCACATATTTTGCATTTTTTTGTGAAAAATTCAATTTCTTGATTCATGAGAGGCCAGTAGAAAATTTGTCTTGCTCGGGCTTTGACTTTCTCTATCCCCCAGTGTCCTTCATGTAGCTTAATTAACATGTCCTTCCTAAGACTTTTAGGAACAACTAATTTATGATTAAAAAACAATAATCCATCAGACACTGATAATTCTGCTCTAAGTTTATAACAATGACGCACAGATGATAGAATTTCAGCTTTTTTAGAAGGCCATCCAATGTTGAGATAATTAATAATAGTTTGCATCTGTTCATCATTTTTTTAACTTTAAATAAAATCTTTTTTTCTTCAGACATAGGCAAATAATTTGAAAAAGAATGAACATAGTGTAACTCCTGGTCAATGTTTTCTGATGTCTCAGTATTAGTCAAATAGGCGCGCGACAATGTGTCTGCGATGAATAAATATTTCCCAGGTTTGTAAGTAACTTTCAAGTCATAGTTAAGAAGTTGAAGTAGCATGCGTTGCAATCTAGGTGAAACAGTTGGCAAGCTTTTTTTAAAAATAGACTCTAATGGTTTATGATCTGAACACACTTTAATATTTTTAACACCACAAATAAAGTAATGAAATTTTTTGCAGCTAAATAAAATTGCCAATAGTTCTTTTTCTATTTGAGCATAGTTGGTTTCACTTTTCGTCATACTTCGTGATGCGAAAGCTATTGGGTGCCCATTTTGAAGTAAACAAGACCCAACGCCATCCTTTGATGAGTCAGTTTCAATTTCAATTGGTAATAATGGGTTGAAAAATGCTAAAACTGGCGCGGTTGTTAATAAATGTTGTAAGTTTGATAATGATTTGTCATGTTCATTGTTCCAAGTCCAGTCAACGTCTTGTCTTGTCAAATTTCGAAGGGGGGCAGTTACTTTGGACATGTTTGGGACAAACTTGCCCAAAAATTTTGCCATGCCTAATAACCTCAAAAGATCAGTTTTACTTTGCGGTTTGGGCATATCTGTGATAGCATTAATATACGACTGACACGGTTTAACACCATCCTTAGAAAAAACCTGACCAAGATACTTCACTTCTTCTGACTTAAACTGAATTTTTGACATGTTAAATTTTATGTTAAATTTTGATGCTCTATCTAAAACGTTTTTCAAAATTTTGTCATGTTCCAACTCTGTCTCCCCAGCAATTATCAAATCATCAAAATATATCTGCACTCCCTCATTATCCCCAAACAGTTCAAAATTCTTTCGCTGAAACACTTCAGGGGCAGAACTAATACCAAATGGAAGTCGACAAAATTGGTAACGACCGAAAGGTGTGCCAAAAGTACAATAGTCAGATGATTGATCATCAATTTTGACTTGAAAGTAGCCATCTTTCATATCTAGTACAGAAAAAATGACTTTACGATTCAGTTTACTAGCAATTTCGTCGGCTGTTGGAATTAAAAAATGCTCACGCTGTATGTATTGATTCAAAAACTTTGGGTCCAGACACAACCTCAAATCACCATTTTTTTTCTCAACAATAACCAAAGGATTTAACCACTCAGTAGGTTTTTTAACTTTCCTTCTAATCC